AATCGATTGATGCTTGGCCTTGACCTATCGATCCTCTATAGTTCGGGAACAATGTCCCAAAGCCTAGGAATATGAAAAGTCAGTACAAAGTGTATTTTGAAAAGGAGAAAACTTTGAGTTGAATTCTAGACTAGTGTTTCTGTGATACAAAAATGCATTATATATTACAAACCATTTTAGGTAATTATAAATGAAGTTTTTAAATCAAAGGTGGCAGAAAAAGCTGACTCTACTTTTTAAAATTGATATTCTCTGACAAAGTCTCAGGAATTTATAAGCTGAAAACCTTTTGATTCGAGAAATTTGAAATTGAAATTCATTTTTGATGCCTATCAAATTAGATAAAATTGCTGTTTAAATAAATAAGATGGATGGTGAATGCATGCAAAAAATTTTTTTGATGAAATAGGTTTTGATGAGCTTTATAGAACTTCTTGTAAGAATAACATGAATTATTGTAGATTCAGCACACACTTTGCAAACCAACCAAAATTTTTAGCAAACAAGACAAATACCTAGTAATGTCGCTTTTCACAGAATTATTACTTGCAGTGTTAGGCAAATCTTGATGCAAGTTTTTCTGTCTTCTTCACCACCGTGGGGTCTCTCTTAGAAAAAATAGCTTTCTATGGAAAAACGATATGTCCTACAAGTCCGGCAATTTTTTTTTTCCTCCTAAATTTTGGATACAGGCGCATACATTCATCAAAAGCTACTAACACAATGACCTGGTGTTTATTCTTGTAATTAGAGGTTAGTTTAGTTAAAGTTCTAAGTTTAGGTAAAAAAAGGCATCCAGGAATAATTACCTAAGCGGGAGTAGAAAACTGCAGAGAAAAGGTCAAAAGAGTCTAGAGCTGCTGAATGAGGTCCACCATGGGGAAAAACGACCAGGGGAACAGAATGTGGTGCACCAGTCTTCGGTCCAAAGTAGATGGCAGAAAATAAATCTGCAAAAAAAAAAAAAAAAAAGATTTTTTTTCACATGATATAGAATAATTATAAATGAGAAGGATGTTCTCTTTTTTCAAAAAATTGTGAATTTTACGTAAAAATAGTTGTTCATACTTGCAGAATTGAACATTTTTATTGGCTCATTTTTGAAAAAGGAGAGAGAAATAATTGAATATTAAATAATTATTTCATAATTTTTTCAATTATAATTAAAGAAGAAAAACTATACATGTTCCTGAACAGTCTCCATAAGTTTCGGATTTCTGAAGCCGTCTACTCTGTGGATGAACTGTTGGAGAGTTTAAATTCCTAATGGACTGAATAGCTGTCCACCAGCCTCCCATCTTCGAAAACAGCCCCAAGACACTTCCATATACGAATTTTAGAATGATTATGAATTCGTAGCCTCTGATTAGTTTTGAAATTTAATTGCGTAAAGTTCAACAATTTTTTGACTTAAAAATTTCCTGAAAAAAGATGCTTTAGATGTACGTACAAGAAAAGTATGCTTACTCGATGAATACATACATAATCACACCAAATATAATTTTTTTTCTTTTTAGTGAAACGCTCTTTTATACACGGTGACAGATTCAACAAAATTTGACATAAAAATTGGCTCTTAAAAATCTGAAAATACATGGATGTTTATGGTCCTTTTCAAACTAGTATTGAGATCCGCAGCTGATTTCTACTGGATTTCTCCTACGCACTATGTAAGGTTGACTTAATTTAGATTTTGTGTCTCATAATTGGTGCGGTGCGAACAAAGGAAAAAATATGCACACTACTTACTGACATCTTCAGAATCAAACGTTGTAAGAGCCATGTAATAGGGAGTTAAGAAAGCAGATCCATTATCTTGGCACGGGTCTGATAGTGACACCCATTGCTCTATGCTGCCATCACATACGAGGTGGGCAACCCTCAGAAAATGGGGAACCAGGAATGAAGTATTTGTGCAAACAAGCAGGTCTTCTTTCACATCCAAAACATAGACACTCCCTCCTGCATTTCCAGATATTTCATTCACACTTCCAGATTCTGCAGGTGGAAAAATTGTTGAACAAATTTAAACGCAAGTTAAAATGCTCTTATTCTGACAGCTCAAGGGATAGGAGGATTAAATTTCTAACCATAATGAATACTGAATCTTCCATTAAATGCGCTTGCAAGTGACCTTCAGAAAAATTTCAAATCCTCTTTAGAATTTATTATTTGAAGAATATTATTTAGAAGAATTTTATTATTTGAAATGTTTACAGGAGCAATGATTGTACATAAATTGAGGCCTACTTCCTTGCTAAAGTTAGGCTATCTCATCCTGCTTCAGTATTTCTGGTTGAAACAATTTAATTTAGAGAGAAAGCAAACCCTCATTAAGAGCAAGAGACACATGGTTGAAGGGTGCTCAAAGATGGAGAAGTAGAACTTTCTCGGGACAAGGCGAAGTAAAATAAACCAGTCCCAATGACCAGATTTCCAATTCTGCAAACCTGGAGCTCCAGTACATGAGATATTTTTTTTTAGATTTAGATTAAATTAATCGCTGACAGAACCGAAGTTTACCAATTTTTAAATTTGATTAGTATGAAGTATCGAGACTTACCTACATCTAAAACATAAGGAATTACCCGAAATCTCTGCTCAGTGCTGAAAAGAATGTACTTGCTGTTACTTGAGAAACATCTCCGAGGAAGTGAATTGCAGAAAACTCCATAAAATAATTTGTCATCATTAATTTTTTTCTGATGCTGCACAATGGGAAGAATTATTTCTGGCTAAAAAATAAAAGAAAGATAAAGAAAACAAGAACTTACAAATTGCCAAGAACACTAGGAAAGAAATGAAAAAAAAGATACAGGAATGGTCAGTATTACCTACTGAAGGAACTTTTTTTCTAAAAATCAAGAGATTGATAGCAGGAAGACCTACTCACATCATAGGACGTAGCAACCTCAAGGATAAAGAATAAAGGATGAGAGGAGAGAATGAGAAACTGATTTGAATGGCAAAATGAAACAGCATATAAAATCTGAGATAACACTGCTGTTCGATGCTAGTGGCTACTGATCACTCGGACCGTTTCAAGCCATTTACTGGGCAAATGATCCAAATATATACCGCAACTTGTTCAAAAACATCGGCTCGAATATAAGTTTGGTCAACTGTGACTTTTGATCAAGATCAGGAAACCGGTGCAATGCAAGAAAAATTGGAAATTGGCGAGAGCACAAAATTTCTTACTGAAAGTGTGAGGTTCTTTGCAAAAAATTAAACATGTACATACCACTTATTTCTGACTTTATTGAACAAATTTAATTTAAGGAGATGGGTTTTGATAGATGTGTTCATCCATTTTTATTTCATATTGAGATATTTAGCTTAATTTTTATTTAGTCTTGAGACGATGTTGATGTTTCTTTAGTTTTTGTTGTTCTTTGAGAGGTATCTCTTAGGATTCAAAAGACAGAAGTGTAATTTGTGAAAGTAGTTTGATGAGAGTAAATTGAGTCCAGAATTTAATCAAAGAAATTATGAGTGTAAGAATACTTTTTCCAGTTGAAAATTTAAGATTTGAAACAAAATACTGTCTACTCATTATGATGCTGGTCTAACGGGACCCTTGGAGACGGGTAAATACTGAGGAAGTATGTACATATGACTTCAACTACTGTAAACAAGCCTGAAAGTGAGTAAGATCTAAACATAGTAGGGACAATCATAATCTAAAGGCTTGCAAAAATTTCCAAACGTGCGGTTCGTTTCATTTTTATGTTAAATGAGTACTGAACTAAAAATTTCATTTGAATGAAAATAAAAACGTACCATCATAGCCAAATTTTAAAATGTTTGAGAAAATAACCCAACATAGCAAATTTTTTACTTAAAAAAGGCTTACAACTTGTCGTTAGACCAGAAATCGAAAGACTTCCAATTATTCACTGTAAGTAGATAATACGGTGCAATTTATGTCCATATGTAGGAGAATAATCGCAAGCTCAAGTGAAATATTCTTCAGAGAAAAACTCTGAAAAATATAATCAGAGAAACGCCACCGCACATAGCAACCAAAAAAAATTGTACTGGTATGCAAAATTACGAAATTTGTGCCGATACGATGATTTATCTTTTCTTCTAAAGACAGTCTCAAAGTGTATACAGCTCTGGCAGAGAACATTTCCTTGACTTTTTGCATCGACTATTTGCAAAAATGAAAATGAAACTTTTATGGCATTAATTGAACTGGAAATGACAGAAACATGAGAACCTTCTTATGCAGGTATTAATGATTCAATTAACTATGATTGTAATTCCTCATTGACACTTATTCCTCTGTCCACGATTCAATGTGCGACACAGGGTATTCAACCCTGAACCAGAATTGAGACTTAGCTTGATAATATGGAAAGCCCTAATATTTCTCAAAGGACACAGCACAAAATACCAAGAGATTTGGCGTCTGCTAAAATTCGAGATTTTCGATATGATGTTCTTTACAATCTCCTAAGTGAGATGAGGTTTTTAAATCCAAATATCAAAGGGCACTTGGAGAAAATCCAAGTCCATAAGTGCGTTTTTCACCACTGAGTTAGTGGAAAAATGTGATTGATCGAGGATTGAGCCCCTTCCTTCTTGTCTTGCGCCAGCTGCGAAGATAAGACACTGCACCATCTTAGTTCAGAACAAAAGGTTAGGTGATTTCGAATCGGCAACAGTGCCATTCACGATTCTTCATTTGAAAAAACACGAATTGAATTGCTGAAAAATGAACTCTTCAGACCTGATTTCCTCATGGTTGGTATGTACAAAGCTTGATTTTAAAAGCTCATTCTGATCAGAAAGTTGTGAAGAACATCATGTCAAAAAATCTTGAACTTTAGGTAGCCCCCAATTTTCTTGGTATTGTATGCTGAGTCCTTTCCAGACTTTTTCATAAATTTTTGACTTTTCCCTGATTTCCCTGACAATTCCAGGTTTTTCAGACCTGTAGACACGACGTAGTTGGGATTCATATTCTTGGATAAATAACTGCACTTCAATTATTCAGATTTAACAAAAATATATTTCACAAAAGTTGTATCCAAATTCGTACAAAGCATTACTGCGGGAACACTGTAGATATTTCTTTCCTCTCCTGCGAGCTACTAGCTTTTTCTGACTTCAATATGTTGAATTAACCATAGTGCTGCATTGATGCAACTGTCTAATTCCACAGGAATCGTAAACAGAGAATGATTGTCTGCGTATACATGCATTCTGGAATAGAACATGAATAAAATGAGCGTATATCAAGGTGAAATTGAGGTAAAGTTTTCATGAAAGAAGAAAGAACAAGTCCCTTGAATGCTCCCAATACCTTAGCGGGTACAGACTTTTCTTCTTCTGGGAAGAAATTACTCAACATAAAAGCCTAAAGGTACCAATCTGAAATTTTTAAAAGGAAATATATCTTGGGGTGCTTAAATATTTACCCTAAATAGTTCTTATTTAGAAAACTACTTTACACAGAAAAAAAATATTTGCTGATTCAACAATTCTATTGCTAAAAACAGTGAGTGCAATGTTTTAACGCAGATTTTACAACAAAAAAATGCTACTTTAACCACCCCTGTAGTTAAATTAGTTTACAATGTGGTTAAAATAGCATTTTTTGTTGTAAAATCTGCGTTGAAACATCGCACTCACTGTTTTTAGCAATTGAATTGTTGAATCAGCAATTTTTTTTTTTCCGTGTATGTAAAACTTTTGATATTTCTATGGTCTTATCATTGCGCCAAACATGGTACATATATATTACAAATGCTCATCTTTACTATACAGCGGAAAAATTTATTAATACAATATAAAAGGATGGAAATACTTACTTTGTTTCTACATTCCGCTCTCTCAAAGCATGGTACAGAGCTGTTCCTTGGGAGGGTGGCACACGGAGATCATTTTTGCCGATTAAAAACAATGTGGGAGCACATATTTTATCCACAAGTTTCATAGGTGAAACGTTCCTCATTTTCTCCCAAACAGCATTATCCCCTGTGTAGCCTTTATACAAAAATCCTGCTTCAGTGGTGCACCTGCATATAAAATGTTAAATATTTTAGAACAGGTAGCTTCACTTGTAAAAAACATGAAAAATACAAATATTTTTTGCGATCAGAAGATGTAAGATCTATTCATTATTAACTTGGGGCACTTGAAAAACTTGAGATATGATTTATGCAGCCACAAGAATAAAAAAAAATCAAGCTTTTTTCAAAGAATTTTCAAGCACTTTTAAAGGCCCATTATGTAATTTTTCTCTACATGCACAATTTTTTCCGGCATGAAGATTTTTAATACTAAAAATTTCTTTTTCCTTTTTTTATTTTCCTAACAAAAAAATCTTTGGAACAGTTGCACATTGCAGAAGTGTGACATAGCTGACTACGTCGCTGCAAGGACTCAAAGTCTGAGATCACATTTTCCATTGTCTTTGAAAAAATTTCTTTGATCTTCTGATCTATTTGAAATCAAATGCTTTGTTTCTCTTTAAATACAATACTCTTTTGCTGACAAAGTAAAGAGTAAATCTTCAGCACCTTTAAAAAATCAACCACTTCCAAAGCCTTGAAAAAATGTCCAAAAATCAAGCACATTTCAAGGTTGCACCAATCATGTGTAATCTGCTTTAGAATCTATTTAGAAGAGGTGATTATTCAAGATTCAGGGAACTGACAAATATTCATTATATTTTTGAAAACACTGTGAAAATTAGTAGAGCGCCAAATCTGAGGAGATAAGTCTCAGACATACAGGATCCGTTTAAAATGGAAGCAAACAAGTTCCTTTGAGGAAGAATTTGCTAATAGGAGGCTTGATAATTGCTTGATGATAAAGATACCCTCTTATATTCTTTGATATAACATGTGTTTCATATTGCATGCACTCACCAGTCAGGAATGTCAGACGTCATGAACATAGAAGACAGTTCTAATGCAGGATTACGCGAGACAACAGCTTTGTAGAAGTTCTAGAAAGAAAGGAAAATCAACAATAAAAGAGCACGTCAAAAAAAAGAAAAGAAAAAAGAAGAAGTTTCATTTGAGAACTCATTTTAGCTTCCAAAAATCTTGCAATCTGCGACAGCTTTTTGCTGAATTGTATCTGAGGTAGAGTGAGGAAGCTTCAATATGGTGCTTTGACATAATTACCTTGCTGCATCAACAATTTGAAGGGCTGAATCAGTCAATTAGACATACCTGTTTACAAAAATCAACTCAATGGTTAATATGGATTGCATTTAGCAAAAAGGAATCAACGTTATTACAGTGTTTTCTAAATTGTGCAACTTCTCCTTCTCTTTTAAAAATACTTAATATATGTACAATATTAAAATTTACACGATTATTTTCCTTTAAAATGAACAATTTCTTGGTGGGAAGCCAAAGCTATTTGCTATTCTGGAGATTCCTCAGATAATTATGAAGAAACAACATGTTTGTAACACTGTAAGCTGCATCTTCACAGGCCTGATTACTGTCAGTTTGCTCCAAAGCTCGACAGATTAGAAACATGAAAAAAAAAAAATTTCCAAGAGGAATACATTGATAACATTTCACTTTCCAAGAAACAATACCACTGATGTGTAATTAAGGAAATCTCATAGTGCCATGTGACAATGTTTTTGACATTATGAGTGAGTTTGCAATGATTGGCAAATCTTAAAATTGTTACAGCAGTGTTCTCATTTGCAATTTCATTGTATATAAATAGGTTAAGTTGTTCATTTGATGGAACCAGAAAGTATTACTGCTGCTTGGTTTTATTTACATATGTTAGGTGTGGGGCAATGTCCCAGGCAATCATATGGAACTCTGGATTCCATTTTGTGTCCTATTTTCCGAAGAGCGAAGTTCTCTACTTAGAATACGGGCTGTAAGAAAATGATGGATTTTCAAGCCGAAGTTGCATTTAAACGGTGGAAGGGTAAAAAAAAAGCCAAGCCTCCATTAAAGTGAATCATTACAAAAAAAAGTGAGAGAAGCAAACCATCTTACCGGATACTGTGCTGACAGATGCGCAACAAGGAAGCCACCATGAGATCCACCACTAAGGACGACTGCATTCTGGTTAAGGCACGGAAAAGTTTTCAATGCTTCGCAAGTTGCTTGATGAACATCTTTCACATCAGTGTCACCAACTTTACCCAACAAATAATCCACTGATGCTTGACCTTGACCAGTGGATCCTCGGTAATTGGGGAACAAAGTGGCAAATCCTAAGAAAAAAAAGCAATTAGGTAATTTTAATCCTATTTAACAATTATAAATGGGCTTGTTGCAAACTTCTGTTAGAGCACAAATAAGAGTTGTTTCTATCAGTAAAAGTTTCAAAAATCTCAATGAGCGCATTGGTAAAGTTTGAAATGCACTCTTAACTTCACAATCTACGTAAGAAATTCGTGTTTTCTTGAGCTTACCGCTTTAAAAACGATACTACGGCACGACTAAGCATTTTCTTAGAGGAGTGGTTCCATCCAACTCTTTTGCAATATCAGTACCCAACATAGCTGACCCTTCCGTGTGCAGATCGCAATCGGGAACAGAAAGTCAACCAAAGCGGATCTTTATCAACGCAAAGAAATTGTGAATGTAAACACGCTGGGTTGTTGACAAATGGTTAGAATCTCGTCCAGGCACATGTGTTTTGGCGGATTGGTGTAATATCCTGATGCACAGGGGTTGGATAAAACGAAACTTTTAACAAAATGTTTACCTGTCCCGTAGTATCACTTGACAGGCGGGAGGCTCAAAAAAACGCAAATTTCTCAAGCAAATTCTGAAGTTAGGAGAGCGTTTCAAACTTTGCCAATGCGCTCATCTTGATTTTTAAGACATTTACTGGTAGAGACAACTCTTGTTTTTGCTCTAGCAAAAGTTTGCAACAGGCCCATTGAGTTGAAGACAAAAGAGAGTGCAAGAATTTTAATGTTAGAGCAAGGAGACAGCAATTTGAAATATTAGATGAAGTCTCAATTTTAGGAGAACTCAGGCCTCTCTTACTGTTGAACTGCTAGATGGACATTGACCGATTGGCGGTCGCCCATCATCAAATCTTTCTGTAAAACGATTGATGGCACACTCTGTAGTGAGTTGATGAACGAGGGGCATCAACATTCTTAGTTGTAGTTTGTAATTATTCTATGCTCTTATGTTTTATCACCAACAGAGGATTCTTGTTGATGATTTTTTAGTAATTTAATTTTTTTCAAATTTTGCTGCCTGGTCGATGAAAAGGCTGAACCCCCTTTGATTTGCCCCTCTGGCTGTTCTGAGACTTCAGGAATCAATATCTTAGTTCTCCCAAAATCCGACTGCAGTATTTAATTTGTAAACTTTACAATTAGAAGATACGTATATTAATATTTTTTTACTCCAGTTCCACAAATAATTTCTGTGCCGAGTTCATTTGAGAACAGTCAGTCCCCATTGCCTTACTTGTAAGGTCTTAAGAGTATCTTGTCATCTTACATTTCACGAAAAGGCATTGCATTCTACTTTGAAAAGATACAATTTGACCTGCCATACCTGAACTGCAAGCTTTTGAGATCAGAAGGTTTCCATTATTCTGCCTCATTAAAAAAATGCAAAACCATTGTTCAGCAGAAGGTAACGGATAGTTTTGTAATTACATTGAGCATGCAAAATTACCTAATCTTGTATAAAAATCTGCAGAAAACACATCAAACGAATCTGGCACGGAGACATGAGGTCCTCCATGAGGGAACACTACCAATGGAACTGACTGAGGTTCGCCTGATTCCGGTCCAAAGTAAATGGCACTAAATGAATCTGTGCAAAAATAAAAAAAAGACTCTATTTATGTAATTCTACAGATAAATTAAAAATTACCTAATCGTGTATAAAAGTCTGCGGAAAATACATTAAACGAATCCAGTATACAGGCATGAGGTCCTCCATGAGGGACCACTACCAAGGGGACTGATTGAGGTTCACCCGATTCTGGTCCGAAGTAAATGGCACTAAATGAATCTATGCAAAAATGAAACAGGATGAGCCATACATTGTGACAGAGCTAAGCGAGGATAAGAATTACGGTACAAGCATAAGTTCTACAAAATTCTGCACAGCAAAAAGTGTGACAATAGAGCTGTGCCTATTTTGCGTTTATTCTTCCAAAGAATCTTATAAAACAACACTTTTTTTTTCAAAATGAAAATAAAATGGGCTTCAAGAATGACTGCATAGCAATTGTAGTACTCAATGAAAGAGTGATAGAGCTATATGGCTTAAGCGTCATAGTTTTAGAAATTTAAGTGTAGCATGACCAAATGTAATTTAAACAGGAGAGGCGTTAAGAGGAAAGCGGAATAAGTAAAAGAAAGCAAAAATAATTTTCTCTAATACAGCAAAACTTGCATATAACGGAACGTGCTGGACCGGCCGAAATTTCTGATGTAAGCAGGTTCTGGTAAAAGCAAATTTCTATGTTTTTCGCCCGAAATTCCAAAAATAATGGGTTTTTTAACCCAGCCAACCGTTAATTTAGTATCAGGTGCAAATGACTTAGCCCTACCCCCTCTATTCACGCGGAAACCAAGAATATCTTTCGACACTTTACGCTACTCTCTGATGTACTGCACTGCGTGACGAGAAAAAGAGGTGTGGGATGACGGGAGGGGATTCAAAACTTGGGAATGTGTGTAAGTGCTCTTGCTTGCGGGTTCCATTATGAGCAGTTCATATATAACCGGGTTTTTTTTACCATTGTTTTTACAGGTGAAAAAATGGGACCGCCTGCAACTGCCGATATGAGTACGTTTCCGATATAAGTACATATAGGACGATATAGGCGAGTTTCACTGTAGTATTTAAATAGAAATTTTTTACACTGTAGATATAACACAAAGTGTATGGGTAAAATTTAGCAAAACAATTTACAATTAACAAATCAGAGAATAAATCTGTGAAAATTTAATAATCATGGTTAATACACAATTTGCCTAAAAAGAAAAAAAAAATTACCAATAAGAAACAGCGACTTTCATTGTTCATTTAAAAGCTCATGGGACTGATAATTTTTAGGTTTTCGTGGTGCACTAAATTATGTGTATGAGCCACGATAAGTGAAGAGATTTGAAATCTTTTTCTACGAAATTTATTTTTCATTTATCTTGGATGTTAAGTATGCTAGGAAAGGCTCCATCTTTATCTTCGGTGAAAGTCTAAAAGTTGTATGCCTGCTGTTTACAAATTTATATAAAAGTCCTTTAATAAAAAAGAGAGAGAGAGGTACTTACTGACTTCCTCAGAATTAGGTGCTGTAAGGGACATGTATTTGACTACTAAATTGCTTGGAGAGGCATCCTGGCACCAGTCTGTTAAGGGCGTCCAAAGGGTAATCCCATCGAAGGATAAATGGGAAACAATCAAAGAAAAGGGAACCGCAAATGAAGATTTTGCACAAACGACTAAGTCTTCATCAACATCCAAGACTTGGACACTTCCTTTTTCATTCAAGACTAATTGATTCAGACTGCCAGACTCTGAAAATGGAGGAGTTTACATTAATCGAGGAGTAACACTACACAGTTTTTGGAAAGATTTTTTACAGAAAAAATGGAAAGGAAACTGTCCATTCTAGGGGTGCGTGACTTTTTAAAACTAGTAGAGAGGGCTTAGAACTTTATATGGAGTTAAAATGAGTAAAGTCTATCAGTTCCATGGATCTTCCAAAGGACTTCTGAGAACCTTCGTTTCAACAACTTTCAAACAAGAACAAAAAAAAAAATGTTTCAAAGTTTCATTACAAATGGAAATATCATTATAGAAATAAGTAATTATCCAGTTATTACTTTTAAATACCCTTATGTACTTACATTAAGATAATTGTATATATTTCCTCCTAGGGAGGTTACAATAGATAAACTTAAAGAAAAAAAATTACAAATGGAGCGCTTCCCCTGTTTTATTCTTTTCACTTATTTGTAAAGAGGAAATCGTGTGAGGTACGGACAGTGCTATTTGAAATTGTGTAAGTTTTCATAACAAAAGATAATAAGGCCAACCTTCCTAAAAGTCATACAAAATAACCTGATGGAAATTTTAAAGTCTTTCAAAGGTTTAGAAATAAATTTAGGGACTTGAAAATTCAAAGAAAATTCATGTATATCCACGGATTTATCAGGACAAAGCAAACCCAGATTTTAATGGAAAGTAAGCATGCTAATCTATACAACAGCCTGTTTACTGATATAAAGGGAAGTCAAGAGTTCAAAATGTCAATCGTTGTTGGTACTTTTATGCTTTTGTTTCTCAATAAATTTTTCAATTCATCTCAGCCAAAAAAGTATAATTTTACAGCCAACTGGTTAATGTACTCTAGTTTTTAACGAGATGAGAAAAAAAGGACATCGCTTATGAACACTGCCTATTGGCTCAAGGTCTGCCACTAGCAGTTGTTAGGATCAAAGAAACAACTTAAATCGGAACTAAGGCCGCAAATAATAAAAAGAACAAAAAAAATAAAAAGCCTGGGACGTTTCGCAGGGATCACACCCGCATTTTCAACCTGTGAAAACAAATCGTCTATAACAACTCTTCTAAACAATTCTTTTTAATTTTTTTTGTTTTTGCCGGTTGAAAATGCGGGTGTGATCCCTGCAAATCGTCCCGGGCTTTTTATTTTATTTTATGTGTCCTTTTTATTATTTGCGGCCTTAGACTATTTTAAGTTGTTTCTTCTATCATTATTGTTGTTAGGATCTGTGGGTCAAGCATTTATTGCGCCTCCAGCTGATGTTTAGGTAATGTAATAAATTAAAACGAACTTGGAGGGGAAACAAGCTTTTGAAAGGGGATGAGAGATCATTTTTTCTATAGTCCTGGCAGGTTGAATCTCACATGGGAACTGGCAACTTGAGGGTATTAAAATCTATTCAAAAATAGCAAGTTTCCAGGAAAAGAAAAAATGAAGGAGGAAAATATTGAAGAGAGAATGGATCATATTAGTACCTACTGTTTCTGCCGATACTTACCTATATCTAATATATAAGATGAGACTTGAAATTTTTGTTCGGTGCTAAAAACAACGTATTTACTATCCTTTGAAAAACATCTTTTGGGCAGTGAATCACAAAAAACTCCATAGAAAACGTTGTTGTTGCATATGGTTTTCTGATGCGAAACAATGTCAAAAATGACTTCAGACTGAAAAATACAAAGAAAACAATCGGATAAGAAAAAAAACTTTTCAAAAGTTGAACATGAAAAATTTGAGAGAAAAAAAAATCCCATTGGATGCAATTTAGGCACAATTCTGTGATTAGGAAATTTATGCAAACAGCTTTGGATAGACTATCATGTAAGGAACTTATTTTTGAATAATTAATTTTTGTTTTATCCATTTTATGCACATTTAGATAGTACTTTTTTTTTTTTTTTTTTTTTTTTTTTTTTTTGGCAATTTTGATTTATAAATTTGAGTAAAAATTACAAAACGAACCACAACCAAAACTTAGCCCAAAGGGGAATTAAATAATTAGGGCAAAGCTAAATTGTTTTTTTCGAAGGGGGAGGGGGGAGAGGGCTAGGTTACTTTCCCAGTATTTAGCGGCAGCATTGTTTAAGATATTTCTGAAGAGGCCACCATTTTTCTGAAGAGAAGAGATTTTCCCTCGGCTCTACCCCCAGCCCCCGGCCATAAACAAGTGCTACCACTAGCACCTACCAGCTCAATGCAAAACATGTTAAAACAGGGAGATGGAAAAAACTTAAGATAAGACAGCACACACCAAGAGAAAAATCAAAGCAAAGAATAAAGCACTGAAGTTTTGGCTTACCTAGAAACTAGACGTAGTGTATTGTTTCAACCAAAACACTCTTGAATCTAAGGCATTCACGGAGCACTTAAACTATTTCTCTAGATGAGGTACTCGGGAGGACATGGGAATGTATATTAAGAAAGGTAAGTCTTGAACACTGATCAGGAAACTGATTTCCTCACATTAGATTATGAGCAGGCTCGGAAGTAATGCAACAATTTCAGTTTTGATGGGATAAATTAATATATTCACATGCAACTGAAACAGGTCTTTCGTTGATGTAACTTCAGATCTAATAAAAACTTTTTAGTTCATTTTGTCAAAAGGTGCTAAGAATACTCTTGCAAAGATGATATTTTGCGCATCCAAAGGTAAGATTTTCAGGAGGTGCGAGACCTCCGACATAGACCTGGTAAACAGCGATGCACACAAAGAACTCTATCCTGGTATTTAAAAGATCAAAATTTCTGAAAATCTTCTTGGCAATAGCACAGCAAGTCATCTAAAAAGGAAAATATCTGGGCAAACTTTCAACTGAGTGACAGTTGAACATGAATATTAGTTTTTGGATACTTTACATGCTCAAATAAAGTTGAAAAGACAGTGAATATTAGGATTCAATTCCAGACTAATTTTGATCAAAGGAATGTGATGAGGATAAAATCAAAAGAAATGCATAATTATGGACAAAGTTCTCAGGGGAATGATTCGACCAAATTAACATGCTACTACAAAATCTACAAGGTTCCTTTCATTTTTTCTCCTAAAATTTTTGCTAGAAAAAAAGCAAAATTAAGGAAATAGAATAGACAGACTTCAAAGGCTAATTGCATACACAAAATTAGATAACTTTTGTGAAGGATTTCAAAATTGGGTGAATCTCTGATATTGAGATAATGCTTACATTTCCAGAAGGCCAATGATATTTGATTATTTGCATACAAGCTCGGTGGGCACCTGTGGGAACACGTTCTAGATAGACCAAAATCTTTCCATCAGGGCTAAAACGAGGGCTCATGGCGGACATTTTCTTATTTGATATTATTTCTGCAAAAAATGGTTAAACAAAGTTGTTTTGAGATTCAGAGGTCAGTAAAGGAGCATTTAAAAAGAAGAGGGCTTGTTCAGTAAAAAAGTAATATTCACTAAAAATGAAGGGAAAATTTCAGCGAGAGGAATCGCTACTTTCAAAGAGAATTTCCAGGGTGTCTACTAAAACAGGTAGGCCGAAAATCAGTACTCTGAGAGTACTTTTTCAGAACATTCCAAAGAAATTTAGTACCTCCTTAACAGACAAATTCAGTACTTTTTCAGTACCTCCGTTTGACGAAATTTGATAAATTTAAAAAATTTGAATTTGTCGCTCGAATTGCGACAAAAATAACAAAAATTCTGGACCTTCTCGCGGAATTTCTGCAGTTTTCAGTAATTCCGGACCGCCCTTAAAAAGTCAGTACAATTTCTTGACTTTTCAGAAATTCCAGACTTGTAGACACCCTGATTTCAGAAAAACTGGGAATCTGCGTGAGTCATCTCTTGTTATGGAGAAGAGAAGAGACTAACGTAAGACTTATTCTTCAAGTCATGAAAGCATACCCTCGGAGGTGGGAAGGGGTTTCCCTGCACTTAAAGGTCTCTTGTAAAGCTGAGGCTCTCTGCTTGAGCCTTAATCAAGTTTACGGTGAGAGGCTGGCTTGCAAGCCACTGGAAGTCCTTGGGTGAAGATATTGTTCCTTCTAACAAAACGTAAAGGCATAAAAGGCTCCTTTTCTGGTGCCCTTCTATGTGCATGCTCACTTTCTAGTCCAGCAGGCAAAATTTGTTTTAGGAAATGAGCCTGAACATTATGATATTGGATAATAGATAGAATAATTCATTGCAAATTAACAATAGAGAAAATTTATTGAATTTCATAAGGCAAGAAAAATATCAGCGCGACAAAAAAAAAAAAAAAAAAAAAAAAAAAAAAAAAAAAAAAAAGCGTAAAGAGCAGACTTAAAAATTCCTTCATTTGATACAGGTTTGTGATTCACTCCTCAATATACAATTTGCCGAGTTCTTGTGCAATCATGCATCCTGCGTCAACACCCACTTTTTTCTCCATTACTGACAACCAGGATTACTTAGAGAGAGAGAGTTGTAAAAAAAAAATCTACTCTAAATAGACAAACAACCTTGCAAACTGTCTCTCATCTTTTGAACTTCTAATTTCAAATATCTCACAGTTGTTTTTTTTTTTTTATTTATTTTAAGGAGAAAACAAATGCTTGAAAACAACAGAAATCAAATGTGAGAAAGACTGATAAAATTTAGCAAGATTGTTCATTCATGTGTTTAGGTAAAGTTTCCTTAAATCTCTTGGGGAGCACACCTAATTACTAACAACGAAGGAATAAGGTAATGTGGACACGAGTGATATGGATAAAGCTAGTTGTGCATTAAAGAGTGAACTTCATACTCTTTATGACAAGTTCATTGCATTTGATGGGTAATTTTAATAAGTCAATTCATTTATCTGTGCCTTTGGTGTGCAATAGAGGGTCATTCCATATAGAACCTACCAGCCATGCAACCGCCCGACTCGGATTTTGATGATGAATTTTTTTCTTGATCAGACCACCAAATAATGAACTTCTGTAAAATATTAGGTCTCAAATCGAAAAACTCACAGGAGATATGAATTTTGGAAGTTTTAAGAATTTTCAAGAAAGAGACGTTTCGAACTTCCGAGAAAGAGAGGGTCATTTTCCCCAAAAAAATTCATCCCGGGCCCATTTTTCGTCGGATTGAAGTGAAAATTTGACACAATGTCCATGAAAGTATGTAAACTTGAGAATAAAATGCATAAAATGTTCGACTTCACTCATTGATGTGCTGCGGTTGATAGTTCGTTGTGATTTTGTCTGATTTTAGCGACAAAACCTTCCCCTCTTCAAATGCTCATAACTTTTGAGCTGCAAGTTATTTTTTGCTCCAATTTTTTTTGAAATGCTCCTAAGAGTATTAGAAAGACGCCTGAAGAACAATTCTGATGGCGTTTTGGGCTTTAGTATCTTTTTTTTTCACTTTTGTCCGAAAAAGGCCTAAAAAACTGGAAATAACACCAAAATTGTTCCGATAATCGACCATTACCCTGAAAAGTCAACTCAAAAATCGCTCAATTTTTGCCTGANGGAGACCAGACAGCTGAACCGGGACAATACTCAGGCGGTACTCCAGGGCAAACGGAAATTGATTCAGATTCAATATCACAGACTACGAGACAAGATTGATGTTTACCAACCAACTGTTCGCCCCATTCTTCTCGATAGACATATTCTTCACCCTGGAAAAAAAGGAACATACATTAATTTTTAGTAGTGCAATGACTGATTGAAAGCAAACGTTTGACGATGAAACTGTAAAAGGAATTTACTGCTATGCTATGCTGTATGCTATGTTCAGTAAAATAGCCACAGAAAAATAGGTTCGAAACTAGTGTTGCATTTTTGTTTATGAGACGAGTTTGAGCAAATGCTTCAACTCTTCTTTATAATTTCAAGAAAAATAATGTCTTAAGCTTAATTTTAAGCTTAAGTTTTTTGACCCACTTTATTTTAAGTTTAACACGCCAAATTCAAGATGACACCTAATATGTATTACAATCCGAGGACTGAAAATTCTGGAATTTGTGCTTGATGAATATTCTTAAGCACTTAAGGGTCAAACATACAAAAGCTGCTTACCGATGAAAATCATGAGATTCTCTGGATCCTATACTTTATTCATCAAGTTGGATACATAAAGATCCATAGAAACCCAGAAATTCCAAAATGGAGACCAAAAAAGCCACCGTATTAAACTTCAAAGCTGCAGAAACTCACCTCTCAACAAAATAATTTTTGTTCCCTTTTAATCCACCATGGATCTCCAGAAAATAAAACCCAATTTTTGATCAGCAGTAAGTAATTTTAGGTTTTAGAGACTTCAATGAATACAGCATGTAGAGGAACACTTATTTTTGAAATCTACGACTCAAAGCACGGGGTTTTGTCCCTCAAAATATGTGACTTGTTAAATAATTTTTCCCCCTCACTTCAAATAACCTCCATGGGCTGATCTCGTTCTTAAATAATTCAGACAAATACTGTCACGCTACGGAAAAACGCCGTATGAGCCTTAACGTTGCCAGACTTTTTCTAACACATCACCAATATTCGAGCAAAATTTTAAGTGTTCTTTTTCTAAATTTTCAGAAAATTTTATTTACAATTTCATCTAAAGTGTTCAAAATTTTCAATGAAAAATGTATGTTTCTTTAAAGATAAGTATTTCCTGAGAGTAGATTTGGCAACATTCAAAAGTTCATATAGCGTACTTCTTCAGCAAGGAAGAATTTGTCCCTGAATTAACTTTACCAAGGGTAGTCCCTGTGAATATGTATTCCTACTATCATATTGAATTTACAAGGTTTCTATGGATCCGCACTACTTAGACTTGACAAAAACTCAACCTTACACTTTGAATTGACAATTACACAATCCAAAAAACTTTATTGTTCAGCACTGGAATATATCAGAGTTTTGACTTCATTGCAACTAATTTGGATTTGGTCATTCCTCACTGCGGCAAAAGGTTCCATTAAGAACTAATTTCGATTTGGTTGTTACACATTCCTGCAAAAGATTTTCTTAAGAACTATCTTGCTTTCTTTCCTTCTTTCTAGCAAGATACAAAAAGAAAACAGCTCCGAAGAAATTCTCAGCTGTGGATATTTAATAAACTTACCTTTAACGGCTTTGGCTCCCCTGGCTTTGATTCTGATTCTTTAGATCCAGATTTTGATTTGAAAAAAGGCTCTGCTTTAGGTTTCTTGGCTTCTGCTACAAACAGTAGTTTCTTTTCACATGGTGACCATTCTAAACAGCCGAAATTACCTGTAAGGAGAAAAGAGTCATGGTAAAAAAATATATATATATCATAATTAAATTGCACTACTTTGTTGTTTGACTACAATCGAACTATCTGTCATCTGCGAGCCACAAAAGGATCTAAGGTATCCGATGATTTTCAAAGCGCTAACCATTTCTTACGATACAGTTTCTGATTCACAGCAAAATATCCAAATCGCTCCCTTTTACAAAGTGAAGGGCAAAAAGAAGAAAAACCTAGAGTATTATATTGTGTAGCAAGAGCAACAAACAACGGTATGGGATGAATCACTTGGTGATAAAGTGGATAATTTTAATCTTTTTATAGTCTTACTGATTCCCAAAGACAAAGAAAACGTAACTGCAATTTCTAAATTGCAAATTTCTTTCAGTAGGATAAGTCTTTCTGACCCTGCGTAATGAAGCAAACATCAACTTATTGCATGCTTATTTCTGATAAGTTTCTTTTCATGTTCAAGAGTAAAATACAAGTCAGTCAGTGTACTTAGGTCTTAAGTGTGTCAAGTGTACTTAATAATTATTCATAAAGGCACTTACGATCATAATATATGTCTCCATGAACATCTAATGCTGTCAAATCAAAACTGCGCCACAGCTGATGGGTTCTCCAGATTTCTAACACATATTTTTTAGAGGAGTTTTCGGCTGTGATCTCTTGAACGACAGCTTTAAGTTTTTCTGATTTTGAAATGCTCGACAGAACACTGAAAAATGAGAGAAGATAATTTAAATTAGAAGAAATTCACATGTCAGCAAAGTATACATTGAGAATACTTTTAGACATTGCGACTTGTAATACATTAACAGGTGAGGGTTCATAAACTAGTAGAGGAGAAATAATGGGCAAGACTTGAACTGGGGAAAGAAAAGAGTGGACAATTGTCACATCGGAATTGACATCATTCAACATAATCTTATACGGTAATCAATGGGCCAACTGATGATTGATGCAATGATGCATTCAGGTTGATGTGACATTTCTCCATTCTTTTCTTTCCCCATCTCTGGTTTAGTATGGTTTTTTTAAGAGAATTAAATAATAAGGAAAAGCAATTTGGTTTCAGGTATGATTTAAAGAAAAGTAAAAAAATCAGGAGATGATTGGTGTGTAAAATGAGAGGACTCTCAAAGATTAATAGAGGGGCTTGAAGGACAAGGCGAAGGAGTGCAGTTTTTGAAAAAAATTAGCTATTCATGAACTCAACTAAAACTAGGTAGTTTGAAAGTATATTCTGTCAAAAATTCACACCGTTCCATGTTTGAAGCATCAAAAAGTCAGTTTAAACTCTGTTACTGCCATAAGGCTCAGTGTAATTTTGAAACTTTAAACAAGTATTTTTTAAAATATCAAAAACTGCACTTATGCACCTTGTCCTTCAAGCTCCTCAATACATGCATTGGGTACTTGCAAAAAGGGTCACTGACGCCAAGGGACTTTATTGTAGAAAATGGCTTCACCAATTTCTGTAACCAGAAAAATAGGAGTATTAAATCTGATTGTCATCTGATGATGCTACAAGAAATACCTTCGAAAAAAGTGCTCTGCAGAGAGGCCAAAAATCTTTGGCAATGACATCGAAGAATGTCGAAATTACTTACACAGAAGAGACATCAACAGGCAGTGTACTGATGGGCTGGTTTAATGAACTATCGATCAAGTTGGTTAGCTGAAATTTCACTCTCCGTCCATGTTCTAGACTTCTTTGCGACCAAGTTGAAACTATCGCAAAACCTCCTTGATTACCTTTCAAAATGGTAGCACCAGTTGGCGCTGGATGTCGTGCTACGCTTCTGAAAACTTCAACAACTTCCTCTACCTGGAAATCCAAACATCCGTCAGATTATCAATCATTCAACACAATAGTAGGTGACACAAATTTTTTTGGGAATATTTAACTTCATTCAGTCAATATCCATCTTACAAGAATTTCTTTACCAGTGATTCAATTATAGTACTTGGCTTCCGTTTAAAAAATTTTGATTCTGGTAGTGAAAATAACTACAATCGAAGCAACAAATTGTTTTCAGTCATCAAACATATTCGCACGTAATTAAAATAATGCCCACACAGCTCTAGATTTGTATTAAGGATGGGTGACATTCTTCTCATAACCTCTCAAACCAAAATTACGATCCTATAGAAATGAACTTATTCACCTACGGTGTAAATGAATTATCTGGCATGACTGCACATGCAGTAGTCCAAACTTTGGGGTAACATCTTCTCAGTGACAGTAAAAACTGACTGACTTATTGTCGGATGTAGTAAGGAGTGTAGAAACTAATTAGAGCTGACCTTTGCGTACATATGAATCTTCGTCCCTTATCTCTCGATGACAACTTCCCCTGATTGTCCATTCACTCTACCGTGAGAAACCAGCCGCCTGATTAATGAAACTTTCACTGGCTTTGTCAGCAAGATGAGACAAGACATAGCCCTATCTTTGCAGCATGATATATCGATTTTCAATTCTTGTTGCGCCGACATAGATTTCAACGATCAGGCTACAGTTCTTGATGAAAATTGCAAAGCGAAATTAAGAGGTCATTGCCATCTCCTTTCACCAGGAAAACTGGTACAACAATACAGGTTCTCTACAATTATCTAGCCAAAACTGAGAAAAGATACATATGTCAGATTGATTTTCTGCAGATGAGAGTGCAATATAGACGAGTTTTCAAATTAAAATTACCTGTACTGTCATTGTGGAATAGGCACGGCGAAGCAGACGATTTATCATACACTGCGGAGACAGACACAATGGAAGTTGGGATTGGATTAGAGAATCTGATCCGCAGGTAATCAATCCAAAAATGAAGTCTTTCAATCTGTCAACAAACACGGAAACACAAAAAATTGCCGAAACCGCTTGCAGAGAGAGCGCTAATGTCGATAAGAAATTGTGTATTTCCATTGGTGGAAGGAATCACATGACTTCCTCAGGCATTCTAACGCGGTAAGTATGAAATAGAGTGTATTTGACGACTAATAAGTGTAAAGATTGGTTCCTGGTTATTGTTTTACCTTTTAAAAATTCTTATTTAATTCCGTTTAGGAAAGAGGCATGGAGAATTTTTCTTGATTATTTTCGAAAAAGGGACATAAGCAAGGAAATTAAATGCTCTCAAGCTTTTGTCAAATGTCAAAATACATAGATCATTTTATTAAATATAATATAGCGCCTCAAAAAACAAACAAATAAAATCATTGCTTCAAAATTGGACGAAGTTGGAATTTTAACTATGATGAACTACATGGATGAATAGAGGCTGTAATAGCTCAAATTGGTCCGGAAACATATGGATAACTTTGAATGAGACCAATGAAATATGTAGAAAAATCATTAACTTCCTCCACCAAAAAAATGCATAATATTTAAGCTGAGGCGTAAAAGGAAATTAAATCACAACAAATTAAAACGATTCAGGTGCTTATAAACCCAATTTCGCGAAGTAACGAGTGAGACAAGTTGCGAGAAAGACGAAACTAATGGGATAGGGTGCGCGATGACGACGGCGCAGAGATACAACTATACGTGCTTGATGGATGTCCGTGCTGCGTCTGCAAAATTGAAGGCGCGATGGCGCGAGGCGTGAACTCGAGATGCTCCGTTCTATGCTGCCAATGAGTGTCGCTCAGATTCGGGAGAAAAATTAAAAAACGAGTTCCGATTACGTTTCTCCCATCTTCGACTGTTTTATACTCTCGCAGCCCTTGCACCACTACGAATAAGATTTTTTTCTCTCTCTTTCCTCTCTCTGCTTCAAAATTTTACCTTGTATTGCACTTACTAGATTGAATGTTTCATTTTCCGAGGAGGTTAAACAGCTGATATATTTCTTGGATTCATGTTTTTTAGACTTTTAGTCTTTATAAGCAGTACGCTAGGTTGCCAGCTCTATAGCTAGGTTTCTCTGGAATAATGGTGCTCGGTTTCTCTGGAATAATGGTGCTCGGTTTCTCTGGAATAATGGTGCTCGGTTTCTCTGGAATAATGGTGCTCGGTTTTCAATTTACAAGTCTATCGGTAACTTCAATACGTTCACTTTTGCAATTTTTACTCTGTGCGATTAATCAACTCTGAGATGTTCCGGTCGGGTTCGCACAAGAACATAATGAAACTCACTTGCAGTCGATGATGGTCTCACGAGGGGGCCGAAACGCGCCTGACCGGGGTAAAACAACGTGAAAGTGAGTTTCGTTCTAATGATAATTTTAAAAATCAACTCTGAACCTGAAAAAAGCGTAAACTTGTGCTAATTTGCCAATCTTTTCTGGGCCCCCTTCCCCTCCGAGTAGGGGGTGCCCCCCGGGAAATATCATATTACACCCCCTTAACTGGCGATGGGTCTACGCTCTTGGATATGAGCCAGTCGGACCCTCCAAATGAGAGTTTTTTACCAAAAGGAAATATGCTACTTTAACGTCATGTCAGTTTGCCTTCAATTTTCAGTGTAGGCAACAAATGCTTCCATGTGGTTGCATAGTGGTATCATCATAGTCAACAGAGAAAAAAAAGGAGGTGTTTGCATTTCGGGCATCTTGGACTTTTTTTGATGACGTAGGTCGGCACGGCGACTATTATCATCGATTTTCTCGGAAATGGTGTAGTTTAGGGAAAAAGGATCCCTGGTAAAAATTGGCAGTAGAATCTGTGTTCCAAAATACCATAGACCTAAAGCCGGCTGTAAGATTTCCAATAGCTTCTGTAGCCGGCTGTACAATTTCTTAGAGCCTTTTATAGCCGATGGCGATCAAGCAACAGCCAGACGACAAAGTTTATGCTAAACGTTACTAAATACGGATACTAGGACTTAGTTAGTTTTTGTACTACCGCTCTCTTTTTATGCCGTAGTATCTTGATTTATTTTGCTAGGAAAGTTCCGTACTTTTGAAGGATGCCTGTCATTCTTAATATGTTGGAGCGCCTTCAATTGAGGACACCGCACCAAGAAAAGCCTGTAGGCGTATAGGTCAAACAAGTGGTTAGAAATGAAAAAAAAAAATAATATGAACTATGAAAGACGATAATCCGGGTATCGGAAATTGGCTGCTTTGAAAACGCCTTCAAATGCGACGTGATACCTCACGCATTCCGGAGAGTTCAAATAGTTGTATCATTGCGCCGTAAGAGTGTGACGGAAGATTAAAATGGAAATAGGCTCCATGCACGATGGGCTTGTCGATTTCCTTTGACATTTTTGCAGTCGTGAATGCATATCTGAAGTGCGCTCCAGCTAGAATTGTATTTAGCACAGGTGGTTTTTATGGGAGGATTATAAATAAACAAGTGGTTAGAAATGGAAACAAAATAATATGAACAGTGCAAAACGATTATTCCGCATTCCGGAGAGTTCAAATAGTTGTATCATTGCGCCTTAGAAACGCGACGTAAAATAACAATTGAAATAGCCTTCATGCACGCTGGCCTTTTCGATTTCCATGAACACTATTGCAGTCGTGAATGCATAGCTTAAGTACGCTGAAGCTAGATTTATATATAGCAATTGGGTAATTTTTATAGGAGGATTAAAAACAAACAATTGGTAGGAAATAAAACATAATAATAGGAACTTTGCAAAACGATAATCCGGGTATCGGAACTTGGCTGCTTTGAAAACGCCTTCAATTGCGGCGTGATACCTCACGCATTCCGGAGAGTTCACTGCGCCTTAGAAATGCGACGGAAGATTACAATTGAGGACACCGCACCAAGAACAGTCTATAGACGTAAAGGTCGTTATTACGCCCATCTGCTATTTGGATTCTACCTACCCTTTACTATGCTGTGGTAGCGATAGAATATAGATAGGTAACGGCTCGAGGTCGAAAAACCTTTTTTTTTCCGAGTTAAGTCAGGCCTCTGGATCGATGGGTGCAAGAACGACCTATAAACGGGCCTATAAACTTAAGGGCCTAAGGTGCTAGTAACCCCTTTCTTTACTCACTATCATTCACTATCACTTTCATTTATTTTGCGTTAATCATGCGTGAATAAAATGATTTATTTCATAATGCCACCAAAATGACTGTTGGGCGTAATAATGGCCTATAAACCGTTTTTTTAAATTAAATATATTAGAGTTTAAACCCAAAATGTATCGCAAAATCTACCCGGCATACTCTAATAGAAGGATTAGGTCACCCATAAACACCAAAACAGGGTACCTGCATAGAAAAGTCTGCGCAATACATCAAAATCAAAACTTTAAATACGTTTTCTCAAAACGCGGTTTCCAGTTATAGCGCTGTTCTTGGTGCGGTGTCCTCAATTTCTTATGATACTGTGACACTTCTGGTGTGAAATAGTTGCTTCAGACGCCGTGGCACGCTGCGGCACGGCGGGCGGGCAGAGAGCGCGAAACGCGCATTGGCGCCTACAATCCTAACAAGGATACTTTACGCATTGTGCAATGCGTGAAGTATCCCTGTTAGGTTTGTAGGCGCCACCAGTGCGTCGCCGCTCCGCTTTGTGTTAGGCTCTAATATTTAATCTCGCCGAGTCAGCGTTTTTCAACTCATGATTTTGAAATGTTTGCACACTCTGTATGGACTATTCTCATTTTAATTGATGAAAAAAAAAAATATGTTCCTAAACATTAAGGTAGTTCCGTATCAAACTTAATGATCTACAAAGCACACGAATTTCTACACAATTTCTTATAGCCTTTTATAGCCAATGGTGATAAAGTGTAAAGCCCGGCGATAGGAACTATAGCCCGACTGTATACTTTTTTAAAACTTCGTATAGCCCGGCTATATGATTCGCTCCGCTTTCTACAGCCATGCTATATGATTTTCAATAGCCTTCTTTAGTCAGCTATAAGAACTCCTATGGTATTTTGGAATGCAGCTCCTATCGCCAATTTTTACCAGGGATATTCTACATGAAAGTGTTTGAAGTTATATCATGAGTTGATTTGAGCAAAAAAATTGGACGTTATGGCCCGCTTTTCATACTTCGAATTCCGGATTCTGCTGACCAGGTTGTGCCGACCTTCGTCGCAGGGTACACAATCCTCAAGAAGCAAACACCTCCTTTTCTTCCTCTATGATCATAGTCGGTCTGTGTCGCGTCGGCGAGTTTGTTGTAGAGATATGGACGTATTTATGCTAAAAGAAACTATGTGCATAGAGTTTGCGCGAGACATAGTTCCTTTTGGCATAAATACGTCCAAATATAGAGCGGGGTCGAATCAAACCTGACGTAATCCACCGGGGGGGGGGGGGGGGGTGCTCCTAACAAGATGGAAGCGAGCAGGGGGATCGAAAAAAGTATAAACCCTGACAAGCACCTGCGGACTGATTATTGAAATTGATGGACAAAGCTATAGACAAAGAAGACATAGGGAGTATGGAGCGATCCTATTGGTTGAAATGAGTGGTTTCCATAGACAGAGGGAGAAAATGATAGACTAACTGTCGGGTCTCTCGTGGATTGCCGTTAGTTAGTCTATTACCT